ACAACACAGATGACCCTTGAAAACATTATGCTAAGTAAACTAAACCAGATGCAAAAGGACAATATTGTATGAATCCACTGATATGAAATATCTAGAATGGGCAAATGTATACAGACAGAAAGTAAATTAAAGGTTACCAAGGAGTAATGAGGGAAGGGAGAATGGGGAGTTACTATTTTACAGGTGTAGAGTTTCTATTTGGAGTGATGAAAACGTTGTGGAAGCATAGCGGTGACAGTTGCACAACATTGTAACTGCAAAAAACCATTAAAATACACACTTTAAAATGAGTAAAATGGTAAATTTTATGTTATATACATTTTACCACAATTTAAAAAAACTTACTAGAACCAGACAATTTTATAGAGTTGGCAGAAATAATAAAGCTAATTTTACTTGAACTGTTGCAGAGATGAGTGAGAGAGAAATATTAGTCTACTTTTTTCTTTTTTGAAGTTAGACTATCCTTATCTTAAAACGAGGCAAGAACAATATAAGGCTAGTCTCAGGTAAGAACATAAATGCAAAAATTTCTAGAAAGTGGTAACTAAATCCAATATGAATTTTTAAAATATGTTAACAAAGTTGAGTGTATCCCAGGAATGCAAACAGAGTTTGACATTTAAAAAGCCTGATAATGCAATTCTCTACACTAACAGATCAAAGAATAAAAATAGCATTTAATCATCTCAGAAGATGTAGAAAAGAATCTTGTGATATGTGATTCAACATTTATTCTTGGTTAAAAACTATTTAGCCAACTAGGAACACTTAACCAAAGAATGAGATTTTTGCGTTATGATTTTAAACAAATTTTCTAGATTCATTTATTTTGCTTACATAAGAACTTTTGCTTACATAAGAAATGATGTTTTGGAATTATGCTTTTTGATATTTTTGGAACTTAACAAGAAGTTGTGTAATTCTTATGAATTAGTTCAGTATTAAAAATCAAAGAGGACGTGCCCAGCTAGCTCAGTTGCAGAGCATGAGACCCTTATAAGGTCAGGGAGGTAATAATCAGATGGTTAATTAGCACAAGAGTGGTGAACAAATCCTTCCTCTCATGGCAGTTGACCATTTCAAGTAGATAATCTCTTACAGTAAACCTTAATATTTGTTTTCTTCACTTAATAAGGCCTTGCAACATTTACTATGTGCCAGGACTGTCCTAAGCACTTTACAATTACTAACTTAAGCAACCTTCTGGAATAGTTACTATTATTCACCTCAGTTTCCTACAGAGAAGGAAACTGAAACCTTGAAAGGTTAAGGAAGTTGACCAAGATCCCTCAGTTGTAAGATACAGCATTCAACTTTTCTCTCTTCTCTCCTCTGGAGAGAACTGGATATGGTGGACCTCATCAATTGCACCTTATATCTTTTACCTACTCTTCCCTATTTTCCATCTCTATGTGCCACATTTCAATTTTTTAAACCTATCTTTTGCATCTCTTCAGCTCTCTCGTCTGTGGGTTAGCACATTCTTTGACTTTTATCTAAATTCGTGTCTGTATTATTTATTTCTAAAAGTTCTCTCTGGTTCCTTTTTGAATGTGTCTGCTCTTTTTGACAGTGTCTCACTCCTCTTTCATATTTTTGAATCCTCCTTTTATCTTCTTGAGTATTTGGTCATTGTTATTTTTCCACTCTTCATCTGATTATTGTATTGCAAGAAATTCTTGAATATCCAATAATGTCCACTGGTTTATCTGTGGACTGTTGAGTGTACCTCCTGTGTTGTCTAATTTGGGGTTGTGAGCTTATCTTCCTCTGCGCTTACTTGTGGACATCCTGCATTGTCTATTTGAAAGTGTGTTCCTCCAGAAAAGTTTTGTAATAACTTCAACCTGGCACCCCACAGTGATATAGCAGCCGAAGGCCACTTTTTAAAAGTTGTCACATAGGGGCCTTCTAAAAGATATAAGGAGCAAAAATAAGACAAACTGCACGGTGCAAACAAATGGTTGTAAATTCTTAATATTCTTCTCACCACATGCAAATATAAGCCAAGACAGACGAGTTTGATTATTGTCTCCTTGTACCAGCACTAGATAGTAGATAGTCCCCTCCAACTGGAAAATATATTCTTTCATACAGTTGTTCTTGTATTACTCCTCTGATAAATTATACTTTTCCATTTTCGTGGTTCTCTCTTTTTATAACTGCAAGTATTAAATTTCTCAGCCTGAGATCCTTTAATGTTTTTTGTAATGCTTTTCTGTAAGGGCAATATGCTAGCTTTTTCATTGAAGGATTCAGAAATGTTAGTAGGTAAGGTCTGTACTTTATAATCACTCAGTTTTTCCAGAAAATAATTTTCTACTTTCTCTAGTTCTGTGCAGGTAAAGGTAGGATGGGGGCAGGGAGCAATGGTATATGCTTGTTGTCTAAGTTCTTGAGAAGGGTTCAGAAAGGGCCCTGCGATATCTGCATTTCATATACCCTTTTCAGTCCTGAGACACTCTCAGCTTTTGCAGTACTTGGGAACCTGAGGCCAGAGAGTCTCTGTTTCAACTTCCCTAGAAAAAAAACCCCCAATCGCCTCTGGGCAGCAGAAGATGAGGCAGATGTGGAGGACAGAAATAATGCCTGAGGAATGGGCATTTTTCAGGCTGCCAAGAATAAGGATCCTGGGGATCATTCCCTCGATGTACAGACTTTCAAATCTTTCTGCACTTTCAGCTCCATACCGCTCTCCTTGGTCTATGGTTGTACTGCTTTCCTGGGGCTGTTGTAACAAAGTACCACACACTGAGTGGCTTAAACAACAGAAATTTTCTCACAATTCAGGAGACTAGAAATTTGAAGTCAAAGTGTGGCGTGGTTGATTCCTTCTGAAACTTCAAGAGACAGTCTGTTCCAGGCCTCTCTCCTGGCTGCTGGTAGGAGTGTTCCCGGACTTGGAGATGGTGCTCTCCCCATGCGTTTGCATTGCCTTTCTTCTACTGTGTCTGTCTCTGAATCCAAATTTCCCCTTTAGTAAGGACACAGTCACCTGGGATTAGATCTCACTCTAATGACTTCATTTTAATGTGATTACCTCTGTAAATACCCTATCTCCAAATAAGGTCCCAGTCTGAGATACTGAGGTTAGAACGTCACCATCTTTGGGGGTAAGAGAGAACACGATTCAGCTATCCACTGCTACTCCAAATCCTGAGCTGCTGAAGTTCTACAGAGCGAATCAGCTCATTTCCTCATTTTCATGCCTACCTGCACACCCCATCACACACACACACATACATACACATACAGAGACTTAGCCACAAATACACTGACACATACATATGCATACAGGCTGTGTCAAAAAATGTACTCTGGATCTCATGCCTGTAATCCCAGCACTTGGGAGGTCGAGGTGGATGGATCACTTGAGGTCAGGAGTTCAAGACCAGCCTGACCAACATGGTGAAACCCCGTCTCCACTAAAAATACAAAAATTAGCTGGGCATGGTGGCACACACCTATAGTCCCAGCTATTTGGGAGACTGAAGCAAGATAATTGCATGAAGCCAGGAGGGAAGGATTGCAGTGAGCCAAGATCATGCCACTGCACTCCAGCCTGGGTGACAGAGTGAGACTCTGTCTCAAAAAAGAAAAAAAAAATGTACTCTGGATTTGTTTTAATTAGATATGGTAAGACACACAGACACAAACATGATTGCCACAAAAGAAGTATATATTCAACAGATCCCTAGAAACAAGAAGCATGGTGTCTTCATTCTTTTTCTACTGTTGTAACAGAATACATAGACTGGGCAATTTATAATGAACAGAAATTTATTTCTCACAATTCTGGTGGCTGGTAAGTCCATGATCAAGGGGTCTTCTTGCTGTACCATCTTATGGTGCAAGGCAAGAGAGCATGAGAGCAAGAAAGAGAAAGAGAGAAAAGGGTCCAAGCTCATTCTTTTATAAGGAATCCACTTCTGCAATAATGGCATTAATGCATTCATGAGGGCAGAGCCTTTACGGCCTAATCACCTCTCATTAGGTCCCACTGCCCAACACCACTGCGTTGGGGATTAAATTTCCAACACATGCTTTTGGGGAGACACATTCAAATTATAGAACATGGCATGCCACACAGGACCACATGGGGAAGGATCAGTTGGTCAGAAGGCAGAAGGGAGACAGCGGAGTACAGCGCAGAGCCTTTACTAGGGCTTTCCGAGGAAGGACTGGAAGAAGCAGGCTCGGGTGCTGCATAAACTTAGGGTGGATAGCTTGAGTAATCGCGGTGTGCTCTGGGCTTTAGTGATCTGGTATTTGGACCTGGGGTGACTTCGGACAGGAGGAATGTTGACTTAGTGTGTGAGAGTTTGATAATAGAGATGGATGGTTGTGAGGGCTCTGAATTGGTTGGCTTGTATATCAAAGAAGAGTTTGCGTATGTCAGGGGAATCATTTGCTATCTCTAGAAATTAGCTAACCTAGGAGAGTCACTTTCTTCAGGATCAAGGCTCCAAATGCCAGAGCATCAAGAATACAGAAAATAAGAAAATACCATCAACACACATACACACAAATATACACACACCATACACACAGACACATGCACACACACCCACTAGTCTACTTGCAGTGTGGTTTTCTTTGGTCCACTCATTCTGTACTCTTCCAGCTGCTTTGCCTCCTGCCTCTCCTTTTTTTTTTTTTTAATTTTTTTGAGCCATAACATTTACATCGCTCTTCAGTAATTGCAGTGGGATTCAGAGAATAGGTAAAGATTAAACTTGTGCATTCAGCCTACCAATTTTACTGGAAAACACTTGAGTGCAACATTTGCTGGTTCCCTGCAGCACCTCCACAGAGTTTTTGCTGCTGCTATGTTAGACATCTTCACCATGTAATGATGACCTTTTAAGATTCTAAATCGCCCCACCTCTAAGCCTGTTCTTCATTAGAAATACAAGACGACCAGATGACACGAGGGAGGGGCAGCTCCTAAGGCTTGACCTAATTTCCAGTGCTGCCCATGTTGATTTCTCTCCGTCCTTCTCCTGTAGGCTGTGCATCTCTGCTTACCCAGCATGCTTGTACTCCGCTACTGGAAGTAACCTGTCACTTTAAAAGAAAAAAAAAGCCACTGAGTGACCTTCCTTAGGAACGGGTTGCTAAGCTGGTGTTTTTGCTCCAAGACATGGCTGCAGCTTCCCAGGGAGGAGCCCAGGGGCATCTCCAACATTCAACCTTTCCCTCCGGACCCTTTTAAGAGATTTCAACAGCACCGTCTCTCTCCACTGCCATCCTAGAAAGCAGAATCTGCAAAGTGCCTTTTGTAAAGTTTCTTAAGGTAAATCAGTTCTTAACTGGACTTTGGGCTGCAACAGTGATTTCCTGTTTTCAGTTACCCAGCTTGGAGTTGAGCCTCTCCCGGCTATGGTGAGACTGGATTTAATGGATTGTAAATTTAGGGGCTCTCATCGTTATTTATGTTTTTACTTTCTGAAATGGGAACATAGACCGTTACTCAGCAGCTTTGATTTAAGCTCTATCTGGTATCTGGATGTGCAGGAAATGTAAGTCAGTTTATCACAAGCCCTGAGTGACAATGCTCTCTGACCAAAGCTCTGTGAATCATTAGCTGCATGTTGCATTTATGGGCCTTTTAGTTCAAACTGGCTTAAGGGGAAAAGCACTAGTCACTTCGAACTACACTTTTCTTGGTATTAGACAGAGAAAGGGCTACTAACCACAGTGCTGAGAATTGCTGTGCTTTCCAAAGACTTCAGGAAAATCTACTGGCTGCAACTTAAGCTGATTGTTTATTTCCCTTCATTGCAAAGAGGTGCTATGAAAAGTTAATAAAGTCAAATAAGAAATATATGTTTGCTATTGCATTTGCATATAACCTTTTCTGCAAATAAATTCAGTGCCGGCATGAAATATCTCTCTCTCTCTCTCTCTCACTCTCTCTCTCTCCCCGCCACCCCTTATTGAGTCATTCATTCAAACATTAATGGAACATCAACAATGCATCAGGCAATGAGCTTCAGTTTGGAGTGTACAAACACGAATTACACAGGTCCATAAGCTCAGAGTTTGCTGGGAAAACAGACCTATGAACACATGATAAGAGTACAATGAGCTAAGTGCCATAAACGACTTACAAAAAGCACTGAGAGCACAGAGGGATGCCATCCAGGAGGGCCATCCAGCACGTACTAAGTCATGTAAATGCACTGGCCATATATCACATAACACAGCTCAAATGCGGTACTCATATGTACTCTTCGAGGGCAATGTATAGTATACTGAGCTGATCAAATGATTCTATAAAGCTATTTGTCACTAACCTCATGCTAAGGGAAACTGAATAGCTAGTAGAATAAGATAATATATTCCAAAAAAAAATGTATGTGGCACCTCCCCAGGTGTCCAAGCTCCAGGATGGAACACAAAAATGCTCTCAGGGGGCCGAGCGTGGTGGCTCAAGCCGGTAATCCCAGCATTTTGGGAGGCCAAGGCGGGTGGACCACGAGGTCAGGAGATTAAGACCATCCTGGTCAACATGGTGAAACTCCGTCTCTACTAAAAATAAAAAAAAATTAGCTGGGCATGGTGGCATGTGCCTGTAATCCCAGCCACTCAGTAGGCTGAGGCAGGAGAATTGCCCGAACCCAGGAGGCGGAGGTTGCGGTGAGCCGAGATCGCGCCATTGCACTCCAGCCTGGGTAACAAGAGCGAAACTCCATCTCAAAAAAAAAAAATGCTCTCAGGGTGTGAGGAAGAAAATACTCATGGGTAGAAGTGCAGGAGGTTTCAGAAGTACCATAAATGGAAGCAGCAAGGCAACTGCCCTGGGCCTGGCTGAAGGGAGGGAGAGATGGAACATGAGTTATGGTAGCTGGGGGTGGAAAGTGAGAGCTGAAGGTGGGTGGGCTTGAACATCGCCTGAGGTCTTTCTCATGACTCCTATTCTATCCCCCAAGCTCTTTTCCCTCCTTACTCCTTTCTTCCATTTTCCCTGTCCACCGTCACTTTTGCTTAGTAACAAAACCTACCTAATATGAATAGCCCAATCTATGCTAGGCATTTACACACATTTCATCATTTAGCCCTTATAAATTAATCACCCTTCAAGGTAGGAAGTATGATTGCAATGTTGCAGACAAAAAAAAAAAATTAGGTCTCAGAGAAGGGAAGGCATTGTTCCAAGATCACACAGCTAATAAATAAAGCTGAAGTTTGAACCTAGGTCCATATAATTCTTGGCAAAGTCTTCACTCTTTCTATAAACCCATGCTTTTACCATCCTGGAGTAGGGCACATATATTGTATTATTTTTCAAGCAGCAAATATGGAGTCGAGATGCATCGTATCTCAACCTCCAGGTATGGCTCTGGTCCACTAGTGACCCTTAGGAACAGTCCATTTATTCAGATGAAGGTTGTCCGTCCTTTCCTTGAAAAAATACATTTGGTTTTTCTTCACTGAGTAAAATAAATCATTGACTTAATGTAGCCTAAGCCTTTTCTCCCCAGTGCAATGCTTCACAGCTTTCAACTGTAACTATTTCTAGAATAGTGGGCTATTCTGGAAAGCATAGGATAATTACTGATGCCATTGCAAAAGCAAGAATAAACGGTGAGGCAGAGGGTAGAGTGGAGTGAGGGAGGACTTGGGAATCCGAGTCTTGGCGTCAACTTCTGAATGTGATGTGTAATAATTATAACCTTGAGCAAATCATGCAACCTGTCAGAGCCTCAGTTTACTCATGCAAATTGGGGCACATACTACTAAGCTGGGCATGTTATTGTGAAGACTAAAAAGAACATATGTCTAGAGTCAGCACAAAATAAGTGTGCAGTAAATCATAGCTGTTTTGATGTTGTCAGTAGGAATATATTAACAAGTACCAATGCATAAGATGATGGCAAGCTGCAGATTAAAACCAGGCAGCACTGATTTATCTTCTTAGCAACAGTGTTCATATAAAAAATAAATTTCAGTGTCATCTGATTTCCTTAGAAACTCATTTAAAGGAAATGATCAGGAAAGAATGAGGAGAAAAGAAAATCCCATCACATTTTTCATTTTCTACTTCTATTTTTTTCTTTCGTATGAACGTTTTTTTATAATTTATAGAGAACCTTTTTTTTTTAGTTGCCAAAATATTTCGCAGATTTTTTTTTCAGTTGGCAATGGCCAGACTTGTTCATTAGAGAGCTCTCCCGTACCTCATCCCTCTTTATTATCTGCCCCTCATTCACTCTAGGTTACCTCCTTGCCTTTCTATTTTCTTAGCTGCTTTTACATTTCCCTTCCTCTATTTTGTATACGCTGTGATGAGGTTTGTAGGGAAGACAATAGATTTCAGATGCTTTATTTCCCTCCAACATGCTAATTCCCCTGTAGGGTCAGTGAAACCTTGAGCTCAGATGAGCTGCTTAAATGACCTGACCAAGTCCCAGTTACGATCTGGGTTTTTGGATATTAGAAAGGGCTTACGATTTGTCAGCCATATGCCTGTTGTTTCTCCGCGTGTCTTCTCATTTAATCCTCACAGCAGCCTGGAAAAAACAGTGGAGCCTTAAAAGTCCCAGAATGTGGCTTTGGAAACACATCCAAGAAGTCAGTGACTTGGTCATTCATTCAACAAGTGTATATTGAATGGCCATGGTGTGCCGTAGTCCTAGTCTCTGGGGGTAAACAAAAAACAAAATGTTTCTACCCTCTTGTAGCTATATTCTAACAGGTATGGGCAGACATTAACACAGTAAGTGTGCATGTTGAGTGGGGATAAATACTATGAAAAAATTATTGCAAGCTAGTTAGGGAATTCCAGGTAGGTATTAGGAGGTGATTTTTGTATTGTGAATGGTCAGGGAAGAGCTCTCTGATAAAATAAAATGTCAGCAGATACCTGAAGAAAGTGAAAGAGCGAGAGCCATGCTGATATCTTGGGGAAAAGAGAACTAGGCAGCAGGAACAGCAGGTGCAAAGGTCCCGAGGCAAGAGGATTCAAGTGCAAATCATACAGGGCCTTGGAAAACACTTTGGATTTTACTCTGTTGACAAAGGGAAATAGGTGAGGGATTTTGAGTGAAGCAATGTCATGTTGTCACTCAAATTTTCATCAATTCACTCTGGCTTCAATGCAGAGAATATGGTAGGCAAGCAATGTGGGAAGCTGAGAAATTAGGAGGTTCTTGCAGCAGATTTCAAGAGAGAAGACGGTGTTTGACCAGGGTGATAACAGTGGAAATGTTTAGATGTGATTAGATCCTGAATGTAACTTGAAGCCAAAACCAGCAGGATTTCTAATGGATTGAGTGTGATGTGTCATGTGAGACTGGGAAAAGAGTTAAGAATGACTGCAAGGTTTGTGGCCTGAGGAAAATGGATTTCTGTTTATTACAACAGGAAAACTGCAGTACAAAGTAGGCTCAGGAGTAAAAGCAAAGAACTTTATTTGAGGTGTGTCAAGCCAAGTGAAGGCTTGACAAGCAGATACTTGAGTCTGGAGTTCTGGGGAGATGTCCGGACCCAGGATGTAAATCTGGGAAGTATCAGCATGCAGATGGTATTTAAAACCAAGAGACATGATGAGATGGCCAGAGGCATGAAAACACACAGAGCTAAGTCCCAGAGCACCCCGATCTTTGGTGGTCTGAGAGATGGGGAGAAACCAGCAAAAGAGTTTGAGAAGCAGCAGTCAGTGGGTAAGAGGAAACCCAGGAAAGAACTTGTGCCCGGAGCCAACTGAAGAAAGTATCTCAAAAGAAAAGGATGGGTCACTTCCATCTCTAAGTGTCTCTGACCTTTCCGTGCCTGGCTTATTTCACCCACAAGTACGTGAGGACATGCAAATGACAAACAGGGCAATGTTATCACTTATGTGTGGGATCTAAAAACCAAAATAATTGAACTCATACAGATAGAGAAGAGAAGGATGGTTACCAGAGGCTGGGAAATGTAGTCGGGGTGGGGGAGGTTGTTTAATGGATTAAAAAAAGATAGAAAACACAATGGGAGGACTATCGTCAATAATAATTTAATTGTACATTTAAAAATAACTAGAAGAGTATAAATGGATTGTTTGTAACACAAAGGATAAATGCTTGAGGGGATAGATATCCAATTTTCTATGATGTGATTATTAAGTATTTCATGCCTGTACCAAAATATCTCATGTACCCCATAAATACATATACCTACTATGTACCCACAACAATTAAATACTTTAAAAATGTTTTAAATGCCTCTGACCAAGTCAAGTAAGACGAGAACCAAGAACTAATCACTGGACATGGCAATGCAGGGGTTACTGGAGATGAGTCATTGGCCAGAGCAGTTTCAGAAAACCCTAGACCCCCAAAATAAAGAAACAAACTGGAAAGAAAGGAATGTTGTGAGGAGTTTTCCTATAATTGTTGAAAAATTGAGCAACAGTTAGAAAGAGAAGAAATGTTGAGACAGCTTTTTTGGTTGGGCTCAGTGGCTCATGCCTGTAATTCCAGCACTTTGGGATGCCAAGGCAGGCACGAGGTCAGAAGTTCGAGACCAGGACCAGCCTGACCAGCATGGTGAAACCCCACCTCTAATAAAAATACAAAAATTAGCTGGGCATGATGGCATGCACCTGTAATCCCAGCTACTTAGGAGCCTGAGTCACGAAAATCGCTTGAATCTGGGAGGTGGAGGTTGCAGTCAGTGGATATCATGCCACTGCACTCCAGCCTGGGCAACAGAGCAAGACGCCATCTCAAAAAAATAAATAAATAAAAATTAAAAAGAGAAGGCTTTTTTGGCTGGAAGTGATGGCTCACGCCTGTAATCAACACTTTGGGAGGCTGAGGCGGGTGGATCACACGGGCAGGAGATTGAGACCATCCTGGCCAGCATGGTGAAACCCGTCTCTACCAAAAATACAAAAATTAGCTGGGTGTGGTGGCATGCGCCTGTAGTCCCAGCTGCTCAGGAGCCTGAGGTAGGAGAATCTCTTGAACCCAGGAGGCGGAGGTTGCAGTGAGCTGAGATCCTGCCACTGCACTCCAGCCTCGATACAAAGCGAGACTCCATCCCCCGGAAAAGGTGGGAGCGGGGGGGCTTTTTTTTAAAGAAAGGGAAAAATTACAGCACTTTTTCCACTGGTAGGAATGAGTCAATAGAGCAGGAAGAAAATCAGGTGAAAGTGAAGAATCATCAGGATCGAGGGCCTGGAGGGGGAGGAATGATGGGGCCCAGTGCACAGTTGGAGGGGCTGAGTGGGAACGAGGCAGTTCACAGTAGCAAGTAGAAGCAGAGGAGGTGGCAAGGCTCAGTGTGGTGGGAGGGAAGGGGAGGGGGATGTAGCAGCCCTCTCTGGTCTTGTAGTTTTACTCAGTTAAATGAGGGCAAAGGTCAAGAGCAGAGAGTACAGAAAGAAAGTAGCGGAGAGGCGCTGTAAAATGGTCCTTCTGGAGCTGGATTCCAACTAGTGCCATCCAACTCCACGGGCACAGTAAAGACAGGCTCCCAGGAACAGGAAGACCTGGCATCCTTCCTTTCTTCTGGCGCTTATGTCCACCAATCCTGGGCTCTGCTGGTATTCCTGGTGAGTGGAAAGTCTACTTAGCTCAAACACTTCATTTACCATCACGGCCAGCCTCATATATATCCATAGTAAGAAAAACGCTATTTCATTGATTTCAAAATGCTTGACTTCTTCATTATTCATTGTCAGGGACCCATCTCAGCCAAAATGAATCCCAGGGAAGAAAAAGTGAAAATAATTACAGAGGTAAGTGGCCGCTTTGATGTCCTCTAGGGATGTGTTTGTGTGTGCACGCTTATGTTACACGTGTCTGTGAATAAGGAAGTTAGGCCAACCAGCATCTATTGCACATGTTAAAAGAAAAGCTTTAGATGAATTAAATTCAATAGAGTCTAATTATACAAAGAATGATTTGTGAATTGGGCAGCCCCCCAGCACCTGAAGAAATTCAGAGAGCTCTGCTCTGCTCTGTGGGCAGACAGCATCTATGGACTAAAGATGAAAGTGAAGTACAGAAATACCTTGATTAGTTACAGCTCAGTGTTGCCTTATTTAAACATGGTCTGATCAGTAGGCCACCTGTGATTGATTGATTGAAGCTCAGCTGCTGTGATTGGCTGAGACTCAGCTATCTGCTATGGAAGTATACTCCTAAGTTAGCCTTCCAGTTAATTTACTAAGATTGCAGTTTGTTATGTAAGAATTCGAAGTACAGAGGCATCCTCAGACTAAATTTAGTTTAATTTAACACACATCTAGTAAATGCACCCCGAGGGAGCTATATCAGCTATGTGGTGGGAAGGGGAGGTGGGTGGTGAAGGAAATGAAGTCCTGCTGACATTCCAGGGTCTTACTTCCACCTGAATGCTCTGAAGCTGTTTGTCACCATTCTATGAACTCTGACACACAGCAGCTTTAAATTACTACCTATTATTGGGCCCAGCTCTGCCTGAAGCCTGCTGACTTCTAAAGACATTTAGAATTGAGGTAACAATTGCAGACACTTGCTAATACAATCCTCTGTCCATGGAGTCCTGCAATGCCTGACTCATTGTGTGCAAAGCTCATTAAAGCACTGCCCATGCCAGGCAAGGAAGGCTGTCTAATTTGAAGACTGAAGGCCACCCAACGAAAGAGAGAGTATTCCTCTCAGTCCTTACTTCTCTCTTGTTTCAAGGGCTCACTGGCTTGAGATGACAGAGTCAGAAATGGAGATGATATGCTGTCTAATGCAGTGCTCCAAAAAGCCCGAGGAACCTCATTATAAAACCATGCTGATTAATTTTAAGCAAGATCAAGTACCGACAAATCCACATAAGTTTATATTTGCTTATCCATTCGTATGACCAAGTATGTTTTGTGCCTGTTGTCCTTGGGGATACAGCGGTAAACAAACCTTGTACCCTCACAGAACTTACATTCTATCTTATCTGAAGTCCTACCGGATAGTTAGGATAGATGATGAAAACACAGAAAAGCAAAAGATTACCCAGGATTCTTACAAGTCTATTCTAAGTCAGTAAAAACTTAGAACTAAATTAAAAGCCATGCTTTCACACCTTTCAATATAATTATCATCTTGAGATCGAAGTTGGTGGACCCCTTGAACTAAGAACACTCCGTATTTGGCAGGCCCAAAGGAGTCAAGAGTGAGGATGGGGCTCAGAGGACAAATCACACACAAAGGAAAGGCCCAAACCAAGGCTATTCTCTGGGCCAACCTCACTTCCCTCCTCTGTTACTGCGGTTCATGTTTTCCCTAACCCCAGTGGCCAAGGGGAATCAGGAGGAATTAAAGTCTGGCCCAGAAACCTGTATGATATTTCTTTGAAATCATATAGCTTTAAAATTCGTACTTTGTGTTCAAAATTTGTTTCGGTATAAAAACAATGGCCAGGCGTGGTGGCTCATGCCTGGAATCTCAGAACTTTGGGAGGTTGAGGTGGACAGATCACCTGAGGTCAGGAGTTCGAGACCAGCCTGACCAACATGGAGAAACCCTGCCTCTACTAAAAATACAAAATTAGCCAGGGGGTGGTGGCGCATACCTCTCTCAGTTACCGGGAGGCTGAGGTAGGAGAATCAATTAAACCTGAGAAGATCGGGCCACTGCACTCCAGCCTGGGTGACAAGAGCAAAACTCCATCTCAAAAAAAGAAAACAAAATCCTAATTTTAGGGAAAAAAAAATCCTAGTAAGTTTGGTGTACCACAGAGAGGTTCTGTGTTTATCTTGCAACTTCTTGTTCACCCAGAGGCACTTGTGCCCCAATTTATAAAACTCTAGTACTAAAAACTTAGGGTTTGAAGACTTTAGAGCTCTCAGCTCTAACATTTGATGACTAAAACATTAGAAAGTATAAGGTGGAAAGAGAAAATGAAGTCCGCGCTCTTAAAGGATTTTTTTTCCTTCTCAAAAAAATCTGCCAAAATTTTCTTTACATTGAAGCTTTTTTGATGATGTAACATATATAATTATTATCCTTTTCCTGCTGGTAAGGCTGAGAAACAGAAAAACTTAACCTGTGAAATCCCTAATATGAGTCTGATGTCTGTCCTGGGCCATGATTCTTAGTCACCATTCTTAGATGGTGACTTTTAAGAAAAGACAGCGTGTGGCCTTCAATTCTGTGTCCCCAGAGCCTGGAACATAGTAAATGCTCAGTAAATGTTGTATGCAGAAATGAGGACCTGGAGCCATGGAAGATCCAACATCATCTCATTTATGATGTTCCAATATGGATACGACTTTTCGAAAACATGTCTGTGTTGGAAGAGTGGATGACGATAGCCACACAGATTAACTGTCTCCTCAGTCACACTCGGCACTACTGGATGGAGGCCCAGGGTCAAGATGGGAGTTTTAATTTTAAAACATAAAAGTCATACCTCTCTTCCTATCTTAAGATTCTCTCTCTTTTGCATTTTAACAAAGGAGTTCATTGAAAATGATGAGGACGCAGACATGGAAAGACAGAAGAAGAACTCAAAGTTTCGAAGACAGCCAAGAAAGAAACAGGTAGGAAGTGACAAGAAACTGTGTCTGTGTATTATGTCATTGATCAACAACCCGCCTGCATCCCCAGGGCAATACAGAATCCACAGGGCAGCCTTCCTTCTGTTGGTACCAACTTTTGGCCTGCTCTTGCGGACTGTGAGGCAGAGATGCAGACGGATTGTCCAGGGTGCAGGGGCCTGATGCAGAGATTTATAGATGAGCCTCACAATAAGGTGGGGGTCTATACTTGGAGCATTTTTATTCTAAATTTTCTGCCATCTCCTGAGAGAGGAGTCTAGAATAAAGATGGAAGGAGCCTGTTTTAGTGTTTCACTGAAGGCCATAGACTATGATGGGCAGCAGATGGCAGTACAGGATTATAAATCTTGGGTAACTCCCTCTTTCCAACTCCAAGCCCAAATTCCACCTTAGTCTGAGGCAGAAGCCAACTCCTTTCTCCGGAGCCTGCTGGCAGATCCTTCCCCTCCTAGGCTGGGAGCATCCTGTGCAGGGTAAATCTTTTCAAGGTAAGTCCTTGGTAAGGAGTTGTCCTCTGAGAAGGGAGGCAGGGAAGCAGCTCTTGTGGATGGACGCTCTGTTTGGAACAATCGAGATGCCAGCAGGGAAGGGAGGGTTGGGAAGCGCCATTTTGAGCCAGCAGTCACGTGAAGGGGCTGCAGAGAGGGGTGGCCAGGAGAGATGAGGAGGGCACAGGGAGACAGAAAGACCTCCCTCCCAGCTTCTCCCTTGCTCAGCACACTCTGGCTGGGGCAAGCTGGGCAGAGGAGTCACTTTCAGCCTTTCCTGCAGGCTGGGATGAAGCCTCCCAAGGGAGGGTGCAGGAGGTTGGGGAGGTGCTGCCTGGCCACGTGGGCTAGCTCTCCGGCCACTCCTGGGGACTGAGCAGACCAACAGCCAGACACAGCTCCAAAGCTTTAACCCCTTCCTGGGGGGTCAGTCTGCAGCTCTGCAGCCCAGGGCAAGGGGCCATGGAGGCAGTAGATTAAAAGGGTTCAAGCCCTTAGCGCCAGAGTCACAGGCACAGTGAGCAGTGAGTGTGACCAGTGCCAAGGCTGCCATGGACCTTAGACTGAAGAGGAGAAAGGGGCAAGGATGGAGAAGGGAATATAACAGTTCTCAAATGCTGAGCGATTTATGGGCCAGGCTTGGAACTTTATAGGTTGGGAGCATTGCAAGAAATGTAGCTGCACTCCACAATCAGAATCACATGAGGACCTTTTTTTAAAAAATAAATTCCACCCCAATTTACATCCGAATCTCTGTGCTTTGTACAATGACTCATACATTGTAGCATCTCAACAAATGGGGTCTTTTTATTATATATTTTTTTAACAGATAAGAAAGCAAAGTACAAGAAAGTTAAATAACTTGCCCAAAGTCCCACAGTCAATCTGAGTTTGGAGGCAAGCTTTAATCTGTCTGTCCTCAAAGGTGTTATTGCCAATTCTGCTGCCTTGATTTCCTTCACTGAGAGTTTGGGGAAGGAACCAGAGGCTATTCTTGGGGGTTCCAAAAGGGGGGACTAAATATTTGCCCTGACTTATCCAGTGACACTTTAGCTGCTGTTTGCAAATTGTATGAAGTTGAGAACAAACTGTGATTTTCCTGCTTTTCTTTCCTCCAAATTTCTGCAGAGCTCTACATGTTACCTAGAAAAAGTGAAAATAATCATGTCATTTCGGGATGCCTCCGTAATTTCACAAGAGCATTTCTAGAACTCTGGGTTGGCACCTCTTCCCTGGGGGGGTACCCACAGTGAGTCAGGTGACAGGGACTGTGGTTATCCAGATATGAATAGTACTAAGGTCTGTCCCCTCACTGGTGACCCATCTTCCCAAGAGTGGAACAGTCTCAAATGAAGTCCTGGGAGTCTCTGAACCTCTGACTTTCTTCCTCCAGCCACCAACTGCTGTCCCCGAGGAAATGGTGTCCGAAAAGTCCCACCTTGGCAACCAGGAGGAGCCTGTGCAAGAGGAGCCCAAGACCTGCCTCCTGAGTATGACAGCCCAGAGAGGCCCACGGAGTAAGTGCCTCTCTTCCATTCAGCTGGCGCTTGTTAATTGCCTACTGTAAGCTCAGCCCAGAGCACTATGGGGATTTTTTATGAGTGTTATTTTTCATGCAATGCCACTGCTGCTCCACCCTCTTTACCCCAACTTGGTGAGTAACTTTCTAAGTTAATCCCTGCTGAGGAGACAGGACACAAAGCTTCAAGATGTGTTTCTATAACCATATAATGTTCTTTGGATGTTTGTCCCCTCCAAATCTGAAATGTGACCTTCAATATTAGAGGTGGGGCCTAGTGGGAGGTGTCTGGATCATGGGGACACAACTCATGAATGGCTTGGTGTTGTCCTCTGGTAATGAATTCTTGCTCTATTCACTCACGGGACAGCTGGTTGTTAGAAAGAGCTTGGGTGGTGGCTCACACCTGTAATGCCAGCACTTTGAGAGACGAGGCAGGTGGATCATGAGGTCAGGAGTTTGAGACCACCCTGGTCAACATGGTGAAACCCCATCTCTACTAAAAATACAAACATTAGCTGGGTATGGTGGCACATGCCTTTAATCCCAGCTACTTGGGAGGCTGAGGCAGGAGAATTGCTTGAACCTGGGAAGCAGAGGTTGCAGTGAGCCAAGATCGCACCTATGTACTCCAGCCTGGGCAACAGAGCAAGACTCCATCTCAGAGGAAAAAAAAAAAGCCTGGAACCTCCTCCCCTCTCTCTTGCTCCCTCTCTCATGATGTGACATGCCCTCCCCCACCACTCTTCCTCTTCTGCCATAAGTGAAAGCTTCCTGAGGCCTCACCAGCGGCAAATGCTGGTACCAGGCTTATTGTACGACCTTCAGAACAGTGAACAAAGTAAGCCTCTTTTCTTTATAAAGTACCCAGTCTCCAATATTCCTTTATAGCAATGCAAAATGGACTAACACAGTACATAAGTTAGGGATCATTAATTAGAATAGAAATTAAATATGCAGAAACTCAAAGAAAGATAAAATTGTTAGGGAAGACATATGTATCAACCGAGTGAGGCTTGAATCAGATGCTTGGAAGAAATGAGGGAGGTGTCTGAGGCTCCTGGTGACCTTGCCATTGAGGACACATACACTTCTCCCCCTCCACACACCTTTTCTTCTTCCCCAGTACAATGAAAGTCATGAATTACCTGCTTATTGTAGGGAAAATGACCACCCTTCGGCATTGCTTTTCATGAAAAGTGGATTAGACAAGAGGAGAAGTGTTACACTTTTTATCTGTTACATAATTGTTAGACTGTTCTCCCTATGGCAAAGTTGAGAAATAAGTAACTGTTGGAAACTAGAGGACCTTGGAAGCAAGTTGACTCTTAGATTGGAAAAATATGGTTCTAATCTAAGAGCAATGATACAATGAGAGCTGTTATGAATTAATAAAAACAGAACCAAAGTTTATCTCATATGGCTCTTTCTTTTTCTAAATGCTCAAAATTATTAATTATTGAGGATTACAGCTTGTCAATTCAGGCTGCCATAACAAAATACCAAGAGGGGTCTTAAACACCATACATTAATTTTCACATTGTTCTGAAGGCTGGAAGTCCAAGATCAGGGTGCCAGCATGGCCGGTTTCCAGTGAGGCCTTCCTTTGTGGCCAGCTGATGGCCACCATCTTGCTTTGTGCTCACATGACCTCTACTCCGTGCCTGCATTGGGGGAGGAGGAGACTCTGATATCTCTTCTTATAAGGATCACTAATCCTAATCCTATCAGGGTCCCTTCCTTATGATCTCATTTGACCTTAATTACCTCCTATAGGTCCTGTCTCTAAATGCAGTCATACTGGGGGAGAAGACTTCAACATATACATTTTTAGAGAGGGGACACAATGCAGTCCTTAGCACAACTATTGGATATTTAATTATTTGTTTTAAAATCAAGGGGAAAACTGCCAGAAGAGGTGGCTAGCAATCAAGGCTCTGTGACATAAAGAGCAGACAATTTTCTAATCTCTAAAATGAAGAAAATACTGTCCAGTGTCACCATGGAGATGATCTGTGCATTAGTCACTTCCTCCACAAAAAGCACTATTTCTGAATTGGGGAATGGAAAGGTAGGGAATAGACAGAAGGCTGAGACCTGCCTGCCAGAGCCACACCATGGCCAGCCAGTGTCTGGGAAGTCCTGGTTGGAACTGGAAGCTGCTGATGAATTGGTAGCACTGATGATCCAAGACAAACAGAAGACATCCCCAGCAGTGAGGGGTGGAGCACATGGTGGATAAGGAACCTGTGGAGCCAGGCAGCTGTCAGAAATGAGAAGTCAAAGCCAGCAGACAGTTAGAGTCAAGAGAGCAAAGGAAGTATTATTCCAGTGACATTAGAGTGGGAGACAGACAAGTAATGGAATGATGGGTGCTGGGAGAAATGGCAGAGTGCAGGACTGCCCTAAGCAGGCAAGGGTGGCAAGGGAAGTGACAGAGGAATGGAGCCTCCACATAGAAAGGAGTCTGCTTGGGGAAGATTCAGGGCTTGGAAACTCACAGATGTATGTGCAGAAAAGATGGAGAGGGCCAAGAGTAAGATAGAAGGAGCCATGTGCTTTATGATCCAGTCTTGAAAATCACCTATCAGTGCTTTCAACGTATTTGTTAGAAGCATGTCCCTAAATCCAGCCCACATTTAAATAAAATCAGGCTCCTTCTTTTGAAAGAAGGAATGTCAAAGAATGTATGGACATTTTTTACTACCACATTAATTTTGCTTTAAAACTGTTCTTTATCTCACTTTTCTACTCAGAAATCTTACATTACATTACATAAAATCCACACTCTCTTATTTATTCCAGGTTCTAAGATCCTATGCAGTTGAGCCCCTTCCAGTTGTATTTTCCACCCTTTTCCTTACTGGCCTCCGAATGCCTCATGACCATCTGAGCATTCCTGGGCTTTGTTTCCCACCTAAAGGCAATTCTCCACTTGTCTCTTTATGAAGCTTGTGACTGAAAGGCAATTGAGGTGTTGCAGTTAAAGCCATAGGCTGTGGCTTAGACGACTGTGGGTACCAGCCTCTACCCGCCTTACTCCCTTGTGCAAGTTCTCCAACCTCCTTAAACTCTAGTTTCCTTATTTGTAAAATAGGGACAGTAATAGATTGCATGAACACTGCCACAGAGTTTATACTCCAGTTGTGGGACAGATGAGATGAAAAAAGAGAAAAATGAAGTAAACTAGATAAACATAGAGTACAGCAGGTATGAGAAGTGCTGAAGGGAAAGGTAAAGAATAAGCTGGCAGGACTGCAGTGGGAGTGAGGGGCTGAGATGCATTTATGAAAGGAAATGAGAGATCCCCATGGGGAGAATGTTCCAGGCAGTGGTCTCAAGGCAGGAATGTGCTTGGGATGTTAAGCAACAGCCAGGAGGCAAGGGTGGTGGAAAGTGAGCAAGGAGAAGAAAAAAATAAAATAAAATCAGAAGGGAGGAGGGGAATTGTACCCAGCCTAGTGGGCCCTGAGACTTTTAATCCGAATGAGATGAGCGTCATTGGAGGGTTCAAGCCCAGGACTGACATAATCAGACTTAAGGCTGAAGGCTGCTGTGCTGAGAGTAGACTTTGAAAGGAGCAAGGGCAGAAGCACAGAGACCAGGCAGAGGCCAACAGCAAAAATCAAGGTGGGAGTGATTGGGGAATGGGACTGGCAGGTAGTGGAAGGGGTGGAAAGAGTGTGGGAAATCTGGGCATTTGGAAGGTAGCGACAAATAGGTATATTTCTTGATTGAACAAGAATTATGAATCCAGGAAGGTTGTATCCATAGTTTTTGACCTGAGCTACTGGGAAAATGGAGTAACTCTATTTTCCCGATAGTTTCAGAGAAGGAAAAGATGGCAGAAAGGACAGGTTTTAGGGTAGAAATTGAATGGACATGCAAAGTTGAGATGCTTGTTGAATATCCAAGTGGACATGGATGTATGGATATAGGGATCTGGTGGCTGGGGAGAGGTGGAGACTGGAGAGGGATTCCCTGACCTTTTAACTAGAATGTCCCTTTCCCACCTCTGTCCTCTTTCCTCTTACCTGGTTATTTTCCTTCAGAGCACTTATCACCTCCCAGCATTTTTCAGTCAGCTGACTATCTTGATCATTAGAAGGAAAGCTCCCTGAGAGCAAGACTTTGTCTACTATATCCATTGCTTGTTCCCCAGTGCAGTATTTGGAGCTTGATAAACATTTGTTGAAAAACTGCCATGGATATAACAATAAATACTCAATACAGGGCCCTGCCTCTGGCAACCATCATTCTACTCACTATCTCTATCAGATCAATTGTTTTAGCTCCCACATATGAGTGAAAACATGTAGAGTTGTCTTTCTATGCCTGGCTTACTTCACTAACACAATGTCTTCCAGTTCCATCCATGTCGTTGCAAACTGAAAGTTTTCATTCTTTTTATGGCAGAATAATATTCCATTGTGTATATGCAGTATGTTTTCTTCATCCATCCATCCATCCATCCATTGATGGATACTTAGGTTGATTCCATATCTTCACTGTTGTGAATGGTGCCGCAATAAAAACAGGAGTTCAGATGTCTCTTTGATATAGTGGTTTCTTTCCTTTTGGATACATACACAGCAATGGAATTGCTGGATCATAGAGTAGTTCTGTTTTCAAGGTTTTGAGAAAACTTCATATTGTTTTCCATAATGGCTGTACTAACTTCCATTCTTACTAACAATGTACGAGTATTCCCCTTTCTCTGCATCCTTGCCAGCATTTGTTATTTTTTGTCTTTTTGATGAAACCACAGTAAGATATCTTATTGTGAATTTGCATGTCCCTCATGATGAGTGAATTTGAGAATTTTTGCATATACCTGTTGGCCATTTGTATGTGTCCTTTTGAGAAATGTCCATCAATATTTTTTGCCAATTTTTAATGAGATTATTTATGTCTTATCTGTTGAGACAGTTGAGTTCCTAGTATATTCTGGATTTTAGTCCCCTTTCAGAGGAGTAATTTGCACACATTTTTTCGCAT